TCTGCATAATACGACCCAAAGATCTCCAAGATCCCTGATCTGGACTTTATCAGGGAACCCGTACTGTCTTTCAGGCCAATGACCGTCTTAACTGCTATGCCTTGCTTACAGTTCTGGTAAGGATCAGGTGAGTGATATTTCCCATAATCCCTCTCCAAAACCAAGGAGGCATGCCGGTCGTATTGACACTTCCTAAGAAGAAGCTTCACTTCAGAGATCTCCCCTGGATCTCCTCCATACGAGACAAGACGATCAAGCTTCCTCCGCAAATGCTGGTAGGCAATATACATACCAAGCTGCTTCTTCTTACTTATGGCCTTGAAAAGTCCAATCGCCCTTTGTTTCACAAGCTCCCACCACTCTGACTTACTGCTGCAAAAGTCCAGAATAGAAACCTGTGCCTGAAAAAAATCCTCAAAGGATTGTCTTACCTCTACATCTTCCAGGAGAGCCGAATTCAGTTTCCAGACACCCCTTCCCCTGGGTGGAGTGTCCGAGGCATTCAGAGTCACAGACAGCATACAGTGATCAGAGAACTCCACGGCCTTCAACTCAGGAGCTCGAGAAAGCAGAGTTCTCCTTTAAAAAAAAACCTGTCTATCCTGCTCTGACTATTTCCTCTCTGAAATGTGAACCCCGTGCTGCCAGGGCAGTGCTTAATGTGCACATCTACCAGGGCCTGCCTGTCTAACCAAATCTCTGAGAAAAACGCTATCATAACCCAGCCTGTCTATGGAGCCTCTCCTGTCTTCAGGCCTAATTATGGTGTTAAAGTCACCTCCAAAGACAACCTGCTGGGACGTAAAAAGGAAGGGCTTGATCTTTGTGAGGAGGCATTTCCTGCCCCATTTTGACTGCGGTCCATAGATATTGATCAGGCGCAGGTCCTGCCCCCTAACAGAGACGTCTAAGACCATGCATCTCCCCATTTCTACCTCAATTACCCGCCGGCACGTTACCATATCGGTTTTAAAAAGGACCGCAACTCCGCTGCAAGGTTCAGCCGCAAGAGACCAAAAGGAGGGACCACATCTCCACTCCCTTTTTGCTAGATAGACATCGGCCAATGTATTGAGCCAGGTCTCTTGCAAATAAAAAATCTCAGCATCAAACTCGCTGAGCAAAAATAAGGCCGTATCACGAGCTCTTGCAGATTTAATGCTGGCGACATTAATGGTCGCCACACTTTAACAGAGTGGGAACTGCCATCAGGATGATTGGGGTAGTCGTTTCTTAACCTCTGCCACACTCTCATCACCCGAAGCAGCTCTCTTCAGAGTACGTGACTCCCCCTCATCCATAGATGATAGAGAAATGGATATATCCGATACCATCTCATCACCTGACAAAACTGAAAAAGTATTGCCAAGAGGGACCCCTCCTGGATCTGATTCTGAGGAAGAGAGGACAGCTCTTCTCATCCTCCTCTTCTTCTCTTCCTCTTCTCCTTCACCCTCTCCCACCCCTCATCAGCTGAATCCCCCCAGCAGGAGGCGAGACATGGGACATGGATACCCCTCCCTGAGCCCCATCGGCTCCACCCCCATCCACAGCACCCCCACAACCTCCTGACCACGTTTGCGCTGACGGGGGGACAGGTACCGGAGGTGGAGTAGGCCGAGAGAGGGAAATCAGCTAAACCAGCCCCCCCAGCAGCTTCCGCCAGTCTGGAGGATCTACGTACCATAGGAACAGGAGGGACAGACTCAGGGGTGACATTACTGGGGGAAACACAATCTGACACAACAGAGGGAACAGACACAGGAGGGGCAACTACAGTTTCCTCCCTAGCATCAGCTGCCTCATCTCTTTATCCAGCCTCTGCAGCTCAGCCTCCAGTCCTGGCAGGTTGTGTAGTGCCTCTGGGCACAGACTGTATGGATGACCCAGCTGCTGGCACAAATTACACCGAATCTCGGTGCATTCTTTGGCCAAATGGCCAAACTCCTGGCACATTGAGCACTTCTTGATGGTGCAGGACGATGCAAAATGGCCTTTCTCTCTCCGCATTTGTTACAAACTTTAGGCTGACCTTGATAGAAAATGGTCAGCCTATCCCTCCCCAGAAAGGCTGAGCAGGGAAGATGCTGAACCACATTGCCCAGCACCCTCAATTGCACTGACACCGTCCAGGCCCCTGTCCATATCCTATGCTCATCCAGGACCTTCCGCAGTGGGGTGAGGACCTCACCATGTCGGCGTAGCCAAACTACTACCAAATCAGCCTCTGGTATGGATTCATTCCGGACCAGGATTGTCACCGATTTTTATCAAAGGCTGTCTGGAAACCACCTTTGCCACCAAACCTTTCCACTGCTGAAGGCTCCTGCACCTCCAATATCTCTCCCAAAACAGGTCCAGGCCTTCAGGTTTTTACAAATGACAAATCATATTCATAGCTGCCGACTGGGCAGATCAATGCAAACACATCACAGGCTTTAAACCCCATCTCTAGAATCAACTCCGCCACCCTCAACCCCTTACTGGTGGGTTCCCTTTCCCCTCCCACTTCAACTGTACCACATTCCTTCTCCTGACCCCACCAACCATCCCACCACCAAACCTCCCCAAATTGTGACCATTAGTATTCCCAACACTACCCCCACCCCCCTTGGTGTGACTCCCCAAAACAGAGGCATAGCTCCCCCCAATCCTCCCAGCAGCAGAAACATTTGTGTGTCTGGGAGCATCTGGTGCAACTCTAGCAGATACCGATTGCACAGATCCGGGATTGGATGGTGTATCCTCTCTCTGCTCAGCAGGGGGAGAAATGTCATTTTTACCTCTGTCAGCAATGTTAACCCCTTCACCTCCACCCACCACCAACACATCCATTGCTTTAGCAGTCTCAACAGTCATAGACTTCACAGCAATGTCCGCACTCACTGCTGCAACCATAGAAGCTCCAGCAATCATCTCTTCCTCCAAGAAAGAAGACTCAGCCCAGGACTGGATTGGATTCTCAGACACAGCAACAAGTGAGACATCCATGTTTGCTGTTTGCTCTCCACATGGTGCAGTGTGCTGCTCCCCTCCCCCACCAGCATCAATCAGGTCTGGAGCACCTGGGAGCTCAGGTGAAACAGTCTCTCTGCAGGGGGCAGCCATCTTGCCTGTAGAGGGACTACTGGTCTCAGCAGGAACAGCAGCAGCAATTTCCATCCGTGGGGTGCTTGGTGCAGGTTCACCCACATTCCCCTGATGGTCTGGAGACCTCTCTGCCAGGGATTTTTCCTCCAGGTTGGCTGAGGATTCCTCCACAGCAGGTTGCTTGCAGAGCTCCTCATCCACAGTACTCACCGCAGCAGGTGGGGCAGACATGCTGGGAGCAGCCATCTTGGTATACTGGGATCTCTCCACCAGTCTTGGCTTTGCTGCTCTGTACCTCCTCTGTCCATCCTCAGGGACTTCTGCAGGGTCATCAGAGAAGGCAAACTTGTCTGCTCTCAGGGGTGACTCCATGTGTTGAATGAACCTCAAGGTTCCATATTCACCCTCAACCCCCTGGCTGGTTGCCACTGGTGATTCCACAGCCTGACATGGGGGGGGGGGGAGAGACGCTGATGTAGATGGAGCCGGGTCATCCATCACCTGGGGCTGCTGATCCACAGAGCTCACTGATGTCTGGCTGGCAAATCTCTTCTCATTATCAACTTTTCTTTAAATGCTCCACTTCTGGCTTTCAACTTTTCTAATAATAAAGATTGTCTCTTTACTTTGTCCTCCATGTGCTGGAGCGCTGGCTTCATGCCCAATCTGTTCTTGCTCCAGGCCTGGCAGTATTTGGCTCTGAAGGTTTTGTGTTCAGATTTCAAAACATTAAGTTTCTCCTCAGCTCTTCCAATAGTCACCAATCTATCAGTAATCTTCTGCCTGAAGACATTGACATCCTCACCAGGGCTGGGACCCACAGTCAGGTCCTCCACCTCCTCCTCTTCACTAGGCCGGTCTCATCAGGGGAATCCCCTCCCAGGGCCTCCCCCTGGATCAGGCATGGTTCCTGGGCCAAGCTAGCAGGCAAGGCCCAGGCTTGAAAACGCTGGTTCTCAGGGAGAGCTCCTTCAGTGTGTCCTCCTCCTTCTCCCACTGACCACCAATGTAAGGAACATTCTTCCCACTGACCCCCAATGTAAGGGACATTCTTCCCACTGACCCCCAATGTAAGGGACATTCTTCCCACTGACCACCAATGTAAGGGACATTCTTCCCACTGACCACCAATGTAAGGGACATTCTTCCCACTGACCACCAATGTAAGGGACATTCTTCCCACTGACCCCCAATGTAAGGGACATTCTTCCCACTGACCACCAATGTAAGGGACATTCTTCCCACTGACCACCAATGTAAGGGACATTCTTCCCACTGACCCCCAATGTAAGGGACATTCTTCCCACTGACCCCCAATGTAAGGGACATTCTTCCCACTGACCCCCAATGTAAGGGACATTCTTCCCACTGACCCCCAATGTAAGGGACATTCTTCCACTGACCTCCAATGTAAGGGACATTCTTCCCACTGACCCCCAATGTAAGGGACATTCTTCCCACTGACCCCCCAATGTAAGGGACATTCTTCCCACTGACCCCCAATGTAAGGGACATTCTTCCCACTGATCACCAATGTAAGGGACATTCTTCCCACTGACCCCCAATGTAAGGGACATCCTTCCCACTGACCCCCAATGTAAGGGACATTCTTCCCACTGATCACCAATGTAAGGGACATTCTTCCCACTGACCCCCAATGTAAAGGGACATTCTTCCCACTGATCCCCAATGTAAGGGACATTCTTCCCACTGATCACCAATGTAAGGGACATTCTTCACACTGACCACCAATGTAAGTGACATTCTTCCCACTGATCACCAATGTAAGGGACATTCTTCCCACTGACCCCCCAATGTAATGGGGACATTCTTCCCACTGACCCCCAATGTAAGGGACATTCTTCCCACTGACCCCCAATGTAAGGGACATTCTTCCCACTGACCCCCAATGTAAGGGACATTCTTCCCACTGACCTCCAATGTAAGGGACATTCTTCCCACTGACCCCCCAATGTAAGGGACATTCTTCCCTCTGACCCCCAATGTAAGGGACATTCTTCCCACTGATCACCAATGTAAGGGACATTCTTCCCACTGACCCCCAATGTAAGGGACATTCTTCCCACTGACCCCCAATGTAAGGGACATCCTTCCCACTGACCCCCCAATGTAAGGGACATTCTTCCCCCTGACCACCAATGTAAGGGACATTCTTCCCACTGACTCCCAATGTAAGGGACATTCTTCCCACTGACTCCCAATGTAAGGGACATTCTTCCCACTGACCCCCAATGTAAGGGACATTCTTCCCACTGACCCCCAATGTAAGGGACATTCTTCCCACTGACCTCCAATGTAAGGGACATTCTTCCCACTGACCCCCCCAATGTAAGGGACATTCTTCCCACTGACCCCCAATGTAAGGGACATTCTTCCCACTGATCACCAATGTAAGGGACATTCTTCCCACTGACCCCCAATGTAAGGGACATTCTTCCCACTGACCCCCAATGTAGGGACATCCTTCCCACTGACCCCCAATGTAAGGGACATTCTTCCCCCTGACCACCAATGTAAGGGACATTCTTCCCACTGACTCCCAATGTAAGGGACATTCTTCCCACTGACTCCCAATGTAAGGGACATTCTTCCCACTGACCCCCAATGTAAGGGACATTCTTCCCATTGACCCCCAATGTGAGGAACATTCGTTCCATTGACCACCACCCTAAAATACTTAGAGCTGTACATTGAGCAGAGGACCCCTAAGACCTGAAAGGTATGTTGAGGAGGTTGGGAAAGGCTCTTCTAGAAGATCTGATACAGATTCCTAAAATATAATTTTCTGATGGCACTTTTATGATGGATCTATCGAGTACAGATACACTTTCAGTCAATGAAGGAGAATATCGATCGATTCAATGCGGAGCAGTAGATGAGTGTGGGGGATGGTAACAAAGGTTCACGCGTTCCTTTGTCGTTTAATAAACTCTCGTTATCTTCCGCAGAGATATCTCTTCCCGTGTAATACTAATGCAAACATTCGATCTGGAGCGGAGCCAACGTCAGGTGAGTGACTGCTATCACCTCCACAACACTCCTTTCTCCTCCATTCACACACATTGTATCCAGACACAGAACTTTCTTCAAAGGATTCTTCTTTTTTTTTTCTTTTATGAAACTTTAATGTGTTTAATGTATGAGAGTCCCGAGGACTGAGAATCCCCGGCACCGCCAGCACAGTGACCTGAACCTGAGGATGGAAATAGAAAAAGTCCAAAAACCTTTCTTTGTATGAATGCAAATATTGAGAGCCGAACAAATCCCGAAACCCGGAGAGGCAACTGCCAGCTTTTACTCAGAGAGGAGAAATATTTCTTCTTCAGCTCTACCAACGTCAGGGAAAGTCAGGACCCCCACCGAAACTAGATCAGAGGGGGTGCACAGGGGAGGCTTCTGAAAGGAAGAACGGCCTTACTGGAAGAAGATCGGCTTCACTTCCAATCCCCAACATTTATCGGAAAGCAGAAATAGTCAGAGCTGCAGTATATACAACACCCCGCAACTGCACGGGGCAAATTATGGGGGGGGGGGTAATTGAAGATAGACGTGACCAGTGCTCTTAGCCACTTCAACTCCGGACACTTCCCCCCCCCCCCCTTCCAGTCCGGACACTTCCCCCCCCCCTTCCAGTCCGGACACTTCCCCCCCCTTCCAGTCCGGACACTTCCCCCCCCTTCCAGTCCGGACACTTTCCCCCCCTTCCAGTCCGGACACTTTTCCCCCCCCTTCCAGTCCGGACACTTTCCCCCCTTCCAGTCCGGACACTTTCCCCCCCTTCCAGTCCGAAAAAAACTTTCCCCCCCCTTCCAGTCCAGACACTTTCACCCCCCTTCCAGTCTGGACACTTTCACCCCCTTCCAGTCCGGACACTTTCCCCCCCTTCCAATGACACCAATGATGGGGCACTATTCCTCCCACTGACAACAATGATGGGACACTATTCCCCCCACTGACACCAATGATGGGGCACTATTCCTCCCACTGACACCAATGATGGGGCACTATTCCTCCACTGACACCAATGATGGGGTACTATTCCTCCCACTGACACCAATGATGGGGCACTATTCCCCCCACTGACACCAATGATGGGGCACTATTCCTCCCACTGACACCAATGATGGGGTACTATTCCTCCCACTGACACCAATGATGGGGCACTATTCCTCCCACTGACACCAATGATGGGGTACTATTCCTCCCACTGACTCCAATGATGGGGCACTAATTCCTCTCACTGACACCAATGATGGGGCACTATTCCTCCCACTGACTCCAATGATGGGGCACTAATTCCTCTCACTGACACCAATGATGGGACACTATTCCTCCCACTGACACCAATGATGGGGCACTATTCCTCCCACTGACACCAATGATGGGGCACTATTCCTCCCACTGACACCAATGATGGGGCACTAATTCCTCCCACTGACACCAATGATGGGGCACTAATTCCTCCCACTGACACCAATGATGAGGCACTATTCCTCCCACTGATACGAATGATGGGACACTATTCCTCCCACTGACACCAATGATGGGGCACTATTCCTCCCACTGATACCAATGATGGGGCACTATTCCTCCCATTGACACCAATGATGGGCACTACTACTCCCCCCACTGACACCAATGATGGGGCACTATTCCTCCCACTGACACCAATGATGGGGAATTATTCCTCTCACTGACACCAATTATTGGGCACTATTCTTCCCACTGACACCCATGATGGGGGGCACTACTCCCCCCCACTGACACCAATGATGGGGCACTATTCCTCCCACTGACACCAATGATGGGGAATTATTCCTCCCACTGACACCAATGATGGGGCACTATTCTTCCCACTGACACCAATGATGGGGCACTATTCCTCCCACTGATACCAATGATGGGGCACTATTCCTCCCACTGACACCAATGATGGGGCACTATTCCTCCCACTGATACCAATGATGGGGCACCATTTCCTCCACTGACACCAATGATGAGGCACTAATCCTCCCACTGACACCAATGATGGGGCACTATTCCTCCCACTGACACCAATGATGGGGCACTATTCCTCCCACTGACACCAATGATGGGGCACTATTCCACCCACTGACACCAATGATGGGACACTATTCCTCCCACTGACCCCAATGATGGGCACTATTCCTCCCACTGACACCAATGATTGAGGCAATCTGATGGGGCACTATTCCTCCCACTGACACCAATGATGGGGCACTATTCCTCCCACTGACACCATGATGGGGCACTATTCCTCCCCCACTGATCTCCACCAATGATGGGGCACTATTCCTCCCACTGACACCAATGATGGGGCCACTATTCCTCCCACTGACACCAATGATGAGCACTATTCCTCCCACTGACACCAATGATGGGGCACTATTCCTCCCACTGACACCAATGATGGGGCACTATTCCTCCCACTGACACCAATAATGGGGCACTATTCCTCACCCCACTGACACCAATGATGGGGCACCTATTCCTCCCACTGACACCAATGATGGGCACTATTCCTCCCACAGACCAATGATGGGCACTTATCTCCCTCACCAACGATTCCTCCTACACCAATGATGGGGCACTATTCCTCCCACTGACACCACTGACACCAATGATGGGGCACATTGATATTCAGCCCAATGAACACCTCCACATGACACCAATGATGGGGCGCACTATTCCTTCCTCCACTGACACCAATGATGGGGCAACTATTCCTCCCACTGACACCAATGATGGTGGGCACTATACCATTTGATGGAGCACTATTCCTGCCCCACTGACACCACAATGATGGGGCACTTATTCCTTCCCACTGACACCATTGCACTATTCCTCCCACTGAACTATTCCTCCCACTGATACCACCTTTGGAGACCCCGGGCTTAGGATGTCACCTAATGCAATGATAACATGGATTTTGTTTTCTTCCAGTCCATTCTCTGAGTCCTTCGGATATTAAAGTCATCTCTTCCCTTCGAAGCTTAAAAATTGTAAGTATCCAGAGAGGCTTCCTAAGACAAGACGACTTATTTATTATTCCAAAGGTTCTAATTCTGTGGGTTGTCCTTGCTAAGAGGACCAACAAAGGGACACAAGACCAGAGGGAGATATTTTCCATAACTTCTACTGTATCAGAAATACTACTCACTGGTAAAACATGCTAAACTGGGGAACTCAGCACAGGGATGGTGGGAACCCCTCATAATGGGCACAGCGGGTGTACAGACCCAGGAACTCAGCACAGGGATGGTGGGAACCCCTCATAATGGGCACAGCGGGTGTACACACCCAGGAACTCAGCACAGGGATGGTGGGAACCCCTCATAATAGGCACAGCGGGTGTACAGACCCAGGAACTCAGCACAGGAATGGCGGGAACCCCTCACAATGGGCACAGCGGGTGTTCAGACCCAGGAAACTCAGCACGTGGATGGCGGGAACCCCTCATATTGGGCACAGCGGGTGTACAGACCCGGGAACCCAGCACAGGGATGGCGAGAGCCCCTCATAATGGGCACAGCGGGTGTACAGACCCAGGAACTCAGCACGGGGATGGTGGGAGCCCCTCATAATGGGCACAGCGGGTGTACAGACCCGGGAACTCAGCACGTGGATGATGGGAACCCTCATAATGGACACAGCGGGTGTACAGACCCTGGAACTCACCACAGGGATGGCAGGAACCCCTCATAATGGGCACAGCGGGTGTACAGACCCAGGAACTCAACATGGGGATGGTGGGAGCCCCTCATAATGGACAAACCAGGTGTACAGACCCGGGAACTCGGCACAGGGATGGTGGGAACCCCTCATAATGGATACAGCGGGTGTACAGACCGGGGAACCCAGCACAGGGATGGTGGGAGCCCCTCATAATGGGCACAGCGGGTGTACAGACCTGAGAACTCAGCACACAGGGATGGTGGGAACCCCTCATAATGGGCACAGCGGGTGTACAGACCCGGGAACCCAGCACAGGGATTGTGGGAGCCCCTCATAATGGGCACAGCGGGTGTGTACAGACCTGAGAACTCAGCACAGGGATCTCAGTGCAAGGAGTCCCGGAGATATAAATGAACCTGTTGGCTCTTTGGCATCCACTGAAAGATCAGTCTAGAATGGAAGAATGCTTTAAAGGAAAGCTGGTGCCAGAAGAATCACCTCCTGCCTCCATGTTTGTTCCCCGTTCTTCTAGAGGGCCTGAGAGTCCTGAAGGATTAGAACACCTAACTAAGCGCACAAGGCCACCAGCATTCCAAAGCTTTACTGAGGAGGCATTATGTCAGAAGATCCATGTCCACATTTACTGACCTTGCAGTAGTCACCGGTAGTGATGACTATCTTTTCTTGAAAATGGGACCCTGCAAGGCCTTGAATCATTTGCATAGATCTTGTGACATAATTTCTTCACAATAAAATGGCGAGAACATGTTGGAGTGCTGATGATGTTCTACAGATTCTCAACCCATTACATCTATTGTGTAATTTCTAGCACCTCCCAACTATTTACAGGTTTAGTCTG